CCATAAAACAAAAGGAATTTATTGAAATATAAAAATGATGGAAAATAAACTTCAAAAACTCTCTAGAGTAGTGCGTGCGTTTCCTCCCAATTGATGCGTGCGTCCCCCTCAACCTAATGGCTAAAAAACCTTATTTATACTACTACAAAATAAAATCCTTCTTAGAAAAGGTCTTAGAATAAAACTAGTGAACATAATAAAATAATAAAACAGAAAATAAAAAGTTTCCTATTTAAACTAAAATTCGAACTTCTCAGAAAATCACACTTTTGACCGACCAACTCCAATTTGGTCTCAAAAGGTCTCTTTTGAAAGATGAAGATGTCCCCTACAAATCCTCAAAATGAATATTCCTCAAAATATGCCATCTTGACCTCCAAAATACCCAAACCGTCTAGAAACGTCAATCTGGGAAAACTGCGCGGCCTTCTTTTCTTAGCCACTGTAAACAAACTTGGTAGAAAAATCTGGAATTTTGCTACAATCATCTGGAAAGATTCACAAACATCCTCCAATTGGAATCACTCCAAAATTCATCCATTTGGTCACGTTTTGCTCACAGGAACTCGAATGTCCTACATTGAAAATATATAACAAAGTATCAAAGTTCTACCAAAATAATCAATAAATTAAAACTAAGATTAGGGTAAAATATATGGTATAATATGGACTCATCAGATAGTATTTTGAGAATATATTTTGTATATATAACTATGGATTTTATATAAAGTGGTGTTCTCCGCACCCGCATAGTTTTAAATTTTCATAAAAATTTAGTGGTATACAACTATGAATTTCATATAAAGTGGTGTTCTCCTCATCTTTTTTACTTTTCACACACTTTTTAAAATTTTCGGGCTTTGGAGCAAAGGGAAGAAATCAACTCCTCAGATTAGATAATATAAATTAATATGGGTGTATGAAAGTTAAAAGAAATGTGCGGATAACATAATATCGGTGAATAACTTGTCTCCCTCTTGATTTCCAACTTTTTGACCGTCAAATCAAAATACATAAATTAAGTTTGTGTGTGAGAAGTAAACATAGCACCCCTCTAGATAGCGGAAACAAACTTCTTTTTTGAAGGGTTGATAAGAGGTTGTAGAGCCAAACAAATGGGCTTGGGATGAATTAATTAGTGCAGTCCTCGACCCAGGAGAAATTAACAGCCAGGCCCAGATTGAACCAAGTCCAACAGTGAACGGGTCAACGACCCACCATGATATTGTAAATCGAACACTACTTGGCTGCTGAAAATTCAGCAGCCAATCCTGCTTACACTCAATCACGGATATACATGTGTCCAAGTTTTGATTAAAAAAATCAAAACTTGAACACATGTCCACCCGTGATTGGGTGTAAGCAGGACCGGCTACTGACCAAGTTCTTTCCTTGTAAACCCCCACAACCTTCAAAATTGGGCCCACTTTGAGATACATAGGAGGATACTGGCTGAGTTGAGGAGATGGATGATGCTGTTGGTAAACTATACATCCTGCTGTGCTGAATCCTCCTCAACTGAATTTAGGTTCTTAATTTAACGTCGTCAAGTTTAATTTCAACATTTTGATGTAACTGTAGAAGGTGAAAGCATGATCATGGTGATTACTTCATTTAGTTCATAAATTTTAAAGGAAAACTAACGAAAATGATTTAAAAACTTTGAGTTTTAATCAAAATGACAAAAAGTATTGTAAGTGAATAGTATCAAGAGTGACTTTTTAGAATAAAAATGTCATTTTTGTTAAAAGTGAATAGTACTAGGAATGTTTCATTAAAACTCCCAAATTTAATTGTCGTAATGACGTAGTCAACTCGGGTTGGGTTCAAAAATTACGACAATTAGTAAACTGCATGAGTTAGATTTCAACAATATGTCAGCGATCTTCTTATTTGAACATTCTTGTTATCTCTTTCGGCTTGACTTCCCAGTTTGTAATGTTTCATGATAATTCTGAAATTTATTTTCAATGTCGCGCTTTAATGATTAATTTTTTTTCAATAAATAGAAAATTATTTTATTTAATTAATTAAAGGATTAAGTTCCTAAAACCTCTCAACCTTTTAGTGTCATTCCAAATTGGTCTCAACTTTTTTAAACATTCCCCACAAGTACTCAAACTATTGAAAATGTCACATCCGTTAAGTCCCCGGTTAAATTTTTGTTACATTAACTAGAGTTATTTTGTCTCCAACATCAATAGAATGTCAAGGAGATTGCTAAAATGGTATAGACTGCCATGATGCAGCCACCACCATCTTCACCGCTCAAAAGAAGAATTGGAAGCTTTACTAGCCGAAACTAGGTGAATGAGTAAATCATATGAACAAAAACATGCTCCTTGAAACCCTATCTGAATTTTTAACCCCCTTCTTGTTAGGAGATTTCTTGATCTTCATTTTGTTTTCCATTTTATTCGTGAATTTGTTTAATTATTTTTGTTTTTCCATCTTCATATCTTTTTTGAAGTTAAGTTTATTAACATTTTAGAGTCCAAGTAAGCAAATATGTGGAATCCGTTGTTGCCACAAGTACATTTAACATAAAAATGAACTAGGACTTAAGGATGTGACATTTTCAATAGGCTGGATCCTTATTTGGAATGTTTAAAAAGATTGAGACTAATTTGAAATGATACTAAAAAATTAAAGGGCTTTAAGTACTTAATCCTTAATTAATTAAATAATGAAACATTGAATGTTTGACTGAGAAGGTGGGTATATCATCCTCAACTAGAAAAACCAAAAACATAATAGGAAGGTTATCCAATAACAGTAAGCCGACAATTATGTTGAAATCACAAATTGTAATATGTGGCATGGCATAAATACGAGAGATTTATCAGTGTTCACAAGACAATGGTCACATGTCATTATATAATTGAAAGAAATTTTTTTTTAAGTGTCCTTCTAATTGTATATATCAATACGTAGTGTACCGCTTTATATTCTAGTAACACTAAAAAAATGTCTTCATAAATACGAAGTAGCATCATGCCACCACAAAGGGAGCTTTGAGGAGGACGATGTGGAGTGAGGAAAGAGTAAAAGGGTATGAATGTGTCCAAAAGTGGAGGGGGTGTGGGTGTTGGGGAGCAGTTGCAACCCCTAACGGACGCCACCGTCACCATCTGGTCCATCTGCTAACTCCTCCTCTTCTTCTTCTTCTACTTGTGTTACGTAATTACGTGGTTAGGGCTAAGGGGCACGTGCCACTCACATTCTCTCAGAGATCATCCTAATATATCTCGACATACACACTTCAATCTATGTCATACGATCATACTGAGTTGTCTAAATTGCCACTCCTTATATGCCTATTTCTAAGTAATTTTCATTAACAAACATAAAGCTAATTAATTCACCAAAACCAAAAAGAATAAAGCTAATGATACCATCTCAAATGCAAAATTTATATTCTTATAATTTTTGTCAAGTAAATCGTCATTGCCCTTTTCACACGTGCAATTTATATAGAATTGGCCAAAAGGTTTTACATTTGAGTATGTACATCGGAGGAGAAACGTAGTCAAAACTCAATTGTGATTTTAGCAATTAGAGTATTTTTCGTGTTAAAATAATATCTTTCCTAGTTAATGTGGGCTGCAACTTAGACTAAAATCTTGTAAACATAGATTGAAACCAAAATGTAAGCTTCAAGTTGACTAAAAAATTATGTATGAGGTTATAACTTTCAGAATACATTGGATAGGAAAATGTTATATTTGGACTCATATATAATATATTTGAGATGCAGGAGATGGCCTAACATATAAAACCCAATAAAATCTTACTTTTGTTGTGGTAAATTAATAGGAAGTTTTAACGAAAAACTCACGGTATTGTTCACTTTAATAAAAAATCATATTTTTACACCAAAAAGTCAATCCTAATATTATTCACCCTACCTTTTATTTTGTCCTTATCTTTAAAACTCAAAGTTTTCAAACCTTTTTCATTAGTTTTTCTAAATTAATAATCATTATCAGTATAATCTCTTACACATTGACACGTAATTAATTTTCCATCCAATTTAATAACGCATGTGGTGTCCAATCTACTCTGGTTTCGAATCACCACGTGGCATTATATTTTTCAGCACAATTGTTTTTTTTTTTTTTTTGGTTTTTTGACACACTTTATGATCAACTAGATGACAAATTTGAATATACGTTGACGTTGATATTTTTTACGTTAACGTTTTAACGGTGACAGTTTTAGGTAAACGAGATAAGAGAGATTTGAATATACTTAGACGTGCGCCGACTTTTTTTTTTTTTGAGAGATTTAAATGTGAAGCTTTTATATGGAAACTGTTGATTTTTTTACCACTCACATACCATTATATTCTTAAATAGGAAATAGATTTTTGAGCTTCAATTTATTCAAGTTGGCACTAGAGCAGAGCAGTGTACTCCTTCTTTTATACTCAAATTCAAATTCTTATGCTCGTATTTTAGATGAATTTAGTCTAGACTATTGCTTATAAAAAACATAGGTTATATAATTCAGTAATGCCAATTGAGCCAAATTTTATGAAATTATTCTGATCATATCACCATAGACCTACAACAATTTGGTAGCATAACAATGTCAACAAAAGATAATTTGCCCATGACTCTCGAGACGTTCTTCCCCTTAGCTAAACTAGTTCATAATTCTATGGTTTGAGAATATGCACTAGTAGTAAATATATTTTCCTCCTGGAATGTCTACATAAGTTTGACACTGACTGGACAAAAGTGGTTTGTTGAAGAATGACAATGGACTTTAACTAATCCAGTACTTGAGTAGTTTGCAAGAAAATTTAACATATAAGAGAGAGAAAGAGAGAGAGAGTAAGAAAAAGTCACCATGGAAATGTTCTGATCAAAGAAAAAAATTTCGTTGTGACAGGGACATGATTGAGTAGAATTGCGTCCAATTAGCTTAGTGATGTCAGAGACAAGGGAAGAAATCCGCCCAACAAAAACACGCAAAATTAAAATTAAAATAAGAAGAAAAATTGTGAATAGAAGACTCGAGAGTTCTATGATTGTAGTAGATAGGCAGAGGGGGGAGAGAGAGAGAGAGAGAGAGAGAGAGAAGAAATAGTAGTTGCTGAAGTTTAAGTGTCTGACACAGCAGACGAAAACCTATCGACGACCGCCACTAGCCAGTAGCCACCCTCTTCTTCCCTGACCAGCAGCCTCTGCAGACTTTGGTCTATCTTATTCTCCTGTTACTGTGGTCCATCTCCTACCCTACACCTCCATATATCTAAAAACCCAGTACAGCTGAAACTCTCATTTTTTTTCTTCTCATAATTTCTGGGTTTTTTGTGGTGATATTGTTCAACGGGTCTGAAGATTTTTGCAGATCGGCACGGAAAGGCCGAGTCTTTGGACCGTTTTCCGGTGAAGGTTGAATCTTTCTGTATTGGGTTTCCTATATTTTGATGAGATAGATGCTGTTATGTGACTGAAAATCGTTTCTGGTATTATCTCCAGCTCCCATAGATTGCTAAAACCTCTCTCTCTCTCTCTCTCCTTTTTCTGGTTTTCTGCATATCCGCCACCCGTCCAAAATTCTAGAAAAAAGAAGCAACTCATACCGCATCGTCTCAAACTCTCTGACAACATTTCTAGAAGGAGAAAAAGAAATCCTCGCGGATATCGCTCGATTTCAAGACCAGATTTTCCATAAATTTCAAATATCACTTGGGCTTTAATTTTCATTAATTCAATGTGAATGATGAAATGAATAGCCGATGGTTTTGGTTGTAACCAGGTAGGTGGGTGGAAACAAGAGGAAGGCACACACGGCATGCAGCGAGAGAGCAAGATAACGATAACGATAACGATCGCCGTTAGTTTTGTCAGTTTTGAGTGTCGAGAGATTCTGAAGGATTAGCGTCGGACACGTTGAGCACACCCTCACAACAATCCAATTTCCTCCTCCTCTTTATAAACCTCTGCATGTCGCTTGAAGACTCGCATCAACCCATCAAACGATTTCAGATCATCATAAGAGAGAACGCAACATGCAGCAACAGCAGCAGGAGGGGGGTGAGCAAAGCGAGCAGCAGAACCAGGATCAGCGGTTGAAGGCAGCGGCGGAGCAGGAGAACCAGCAGCCACACAGGTGCCCGCGGTGCCACTCCATGAACACCAAGTTCTGCTACTACAACAACTACAGCCTCTCTCAGCCGCGGTACTTTTGCAAGGCGTGTAGGAGGTACTGGACTCAGGGCGGGACCCTCCGCAATGTCCCCGTCGGCGGCGGCTGCCGAAAGGGGAAGCGCGACAAGGCGGGTTCCTCCTCGGCGTCTGCATCTCGGACCGTGCAGCCTCAGCAGCCGCAGCCACCACAGATAGAGCAGGACATGGTGAACACTCTGGGAATTGGCGGTGGCTCCGTTGGGATGTCCACGGAAAACCCGAGCGGTGGTTTGGCTATTCGCCATCAGTACTACCCTGGTGCTTCTCATGGGTACTTGTCATCTCTTGCAGGGCTCCAATCTCTGAATCAATCTCAGCCGTTCAATGTTGGGGGTGGTCATGATCCTTCCTCGAACATGAGCCTGCTGCAGGGGTTCAATCTCTCAGCTCCTTTGGTGGTGGCGCAGCCACAGCAGCGTCAGCAGTTTTATCAGATGGGCGGCGGTAGGAGCAACAATCTGGTGGATCAAGCTGCTCCATACCCATCTGAGAATGATCAGTGGGCCCCCCAAAGCTTCGTCAACAGGCCATCTTTGAATGCTTCTTCTTCTGCAGCAGAAGCCTCTGACAGCGCTTTGTGGGCCATGGGCAACAACCCCATCACCACCACCACCACCACCAGCAGTGGCGGCAGCACTTCTCTGAACCCAAACCAGTTGCCTGATCTGCCCGGATCATATGGCTCTCCCAATTAAGAGACTTTTAAGGCATGCATATCCCTACAAGCATGGAAATTAATCATATATTTGCTTAAGTATACCAAAGGGAGATTACCTTATGGATCTCAAAGTCTCCCCTTAATTTTCAGTGCTTATAATTATGTACTAAATTGGTTAATTGTACTTGGTGGTTAAAGTATGTATGATCTTTGTTTGTCACAAAGATATATATTATGTTGTGAGTAAAAGGATAATATTTGGGTCGTAAACATGTATAGCCTTTTGTTCAATTCCATGAGTTAGGGTTATTTAGGTGGTAGTGTTTGAACTTAAAATCATCAAGAGTTATTGAGTTAAATGTTTTGTGCTTTTCTTTTTGGTATTTTATGCCTTTATCATTTGCTCTCCTTCAATAATCCGAAATTAACGTAATTTATACCATATTTACTAGTCACGTTGCTGAAGACAAAATCTAATAAACACAAAAGCATTCGAATTGTACGTACGACTTGTCTTAGAAAGATTTACGTATGTGATCCGTTGCCATACTTACTGACATGTTGAAGACAGACCTAAATAACAAAGATGATATGTTCAACTCGTGTATGCAAGTATGCAGGACTCGTACTGGTCATGTGGTCAATGTGATCAATTATCTATACCATGATTACTAACCACGCTGTTTAAGACAGATTTAATAAACGGAAGTGAGTTTAATTCATTTACGCGAGATTTGTACTAGACAAATGATCAGTATTTGATCAGTTATTTATACCATACATATTTACTGACCACGTTATTGAAGACTGATCTAATAAACAAAGCTTAGTTTGATTCATTTATACGAACTCATACTAAGTATATGATTAGTAATGTGATCAATAAATGTTCTCCATATACCACCAGTCGTGTGAAAATTAAGTGATGGTTTGTAGTTAATTCAAGGTCTTTAAGGAAAAGAGGAAAGGCAAAATAGTAATGCTAGGAAGACTAAATATGTAAATTAAATTTGCAAACGAAATGATGTGTCACCAATAAAAAATGAACACGTTTATCAATGTTTAAGTAATAATCCACACATCAACTTTCATGTCATTTAATTTACAAAATTTAATTTCCCCATCATTACTCAAAACAAAAAGACAGTACTTGAACAGAAAGCTAGATGTAATGCATGCATAGAGGAAGGTTTAGCTAAATGTGCGGAAAAGTTGATGAACAAGAGTCATATAGATGGGTCTTGTTGCATGTGGTGGTTGACTGCAAATGCTTTTTAAGGAATCACTTGAGACTCAGACTTCCGAATTGCTTTATGATTTATTTTATTTTTTTGGTAATTTGCCTTATGATTTATTATGACCATTGAGCTTGACAGGTTAAAGCCCGCCTGTTGCAGCTACAAGATCTCTTTAATTGCTTTATTTAAAAAAAAAAAAAAAACACTAGTAAATTCATATGAATGAAATATTGGAAGAAAATGTTATGTCTGCAAATGCAGGCATACCTGTTGGAGACCATTGTGTTGATCGTCATTGGGTGACTGCGAGTTAATATTTTACGACACATATTTTAGAATTTAAACTTTGAAAAATTAGGTTCTTATTTTTTTTTTTGTTACTCCATTGATTAAAATCTTCTATTTTTTCAATTTTTGATCAAGGTCATTGGGTATTAATAATATCATTATTTATTTCAATAATAAATACTTTTTATTTTTAAATATATTCCCTTTATGTTAAAAATGTTACAATTAGTATATTTATATTTATGACTAAATTTTTTATCTTATATTTTTATTTTTAGTTTGTACCCATTTTTAATTTGCAAACCTTTTTTAATTTGCACCAATTTTCTTTTCAGTTTTAATTTGTATCCATATATTAATTTCTTTTTGTGCCCATATTTTTTAAAGTTTTATTTGTATTTGTGCACATGTGTTTACCGTCACGTGACATTGTATAATTAATCAATGATAGAAAAAGTACATATGGCATATTTATGTTTTATGGCTAAACTTTGTATCATATATTTATATTTTTAGTTTGTACCAACTTTTAGTTTGCAACCTTTTTTTTTTAATTTGTAGTATTTTCTTTTTAGTTTTTATTTTGTACCCATGTATTAATTTCTTTTTGCTCCCATATATTTTAAAATTTCATTTGTACTCATATTTTTTTAAACTTTTATTTGGACCCTAATTTATTTATAATGTACCCATTCTTCTTTATAAATGTACCACTTTGTTAAATGTGAAATGTATCAATTTTTTTTTTTAAATGTACTAATTTTTTTAACACTATGGATATATTCTTTTGCCATTTATTATTTCTTATTGTTACATAGTTTTTATCCATTTATTCAATCAAAATGTTTGAATTTTTTTTATTGTAGCCGTTTATAATACTATTATAATGAGGAATTTTAAATTTATAGGATTATAAAACTCATAAAATATTAAACAATTAATGTCAAAACTATAAAAATATAAATATTAATGAGGTGTACAAAATTAAAGGACTTTGATCAAACTTTGAATACTATTAAAATTTTAGTCAAAGAGTATTAAGGACTAGGGATCGCATTCAAAATATCTCTTAAACTTATTATCACTTAAATGCTCTGAGGAATAAGACTGATTTGCCTGCATAGGACATTGTGGTATTTCGAACGAACCACAAGATGCCATGTGTTTCAATTTTCACTGGGCATCGCCACTGGTTTGTTACACAAGGGTGGAGTTTCAGATGGATAAGTCTCTCTTTAGAGACGTACAACAATATCAAATGAATGATAGCAGGGGAGAATCTTATTAAGGGCAAGTGCCCCTTCAAGTTTTTGTCCTCGAAAAAATAGTGATCTGACTAGGAATCAGGGTCTCGCTTAAATTGTAGTCACTTTTTGTTACTCAATACAACATTAAATCGGATTATGGCAAACGATAATCAACTCACTACCACCATCAACTTCACCACTGGCTCCTCATCCAAAACCACCAGGAGGCAAATATAACAGAAAGTTTAGTTGTATAGTTGATTTTGGCAGTTTAAGAAGAAGAATTCCCTCCTTCCATATGTCTAAAAACTTGACCTTTCAACCCTATGCATATATATAATTTATCTATTTGTTCATAATAATAATAATAATAATAATAATAATAATACTAACAACAACAACGCTAAAGATACAATTAAAAGGAAAAGGATCCTCTCCGAATCCTCTTTATGGAGATCCGGGGGATCCATCAATCATGGCCGTTCATCATACATCGTGCGATCATAAATCATTTTAAATTTTAAATTTAATATAAATAGTATCTAACGAAAACTAACTGCATGATGTACGATGAACGGTCGTGATTGATGGATCCTCCGGATCCCCACAAAGAGGATCCAGAGAGGATCCTTTTCCCAATTAAAAGAGCACAACGGGTGAGATTGTACACTATGTGTACACTAAGCGCAATGAATATGAGTTAATCAAATGCTCAATAATATGCCTCTTTTTAGAATTTTACAATAACCTGCACCTGTCATTACCGTTGTGCCAAATGAATTGTATTTCTAGCTTCGCTTCGGAATGATAGAGCCTACCTAGCATGGTTTGATCCCATTTCAAAGTTCAAACACCACCTTCCACGCTCTATAGGACACTGAGTCCAACTCCAGTAGTGAATCTTACTCTGCAAGGACCACCACTGGCACAGTTGATTAGCACTACATTCAATTAATTAGTTAACTATTGCATAAACAAAGATCAATTAGGGCTTTGCAGCCGCATGATCAATTAATATATAAATAATCAATGGGATTATTCTACAAATATAGAATGCTGAGGCGTGAAGGTGGGTGTTGTGGTTTCCGACTAAAAGCAAATCTTTGGTCTGCAACAGAGAGATCTCTGCCGCACACGAAAAAAGAAAAAACTGATCATTTTATATCTTAGGGTAAGTGACTCTAAATTTCTTGTTTAAACCATTGAGTATAAAACCTAAAGCAAGTCCGAGTGGGAATTGTTCATGAGACGTAGACTGTAGTATTTCTTATTTGTATTATAAAGAGCTTAAGCTATAACATATATAATTTTTACTGCAAAAACTACAGGTCTTTCATTTGAACTCGCTTATAAGAGGCTGGATATCAATAACCAATTTTCAAGTTTTGTGGTTAATGTTGATGGATTTATATACTGCCTTTCTATTTCTTTATGAGTAATCTGCAATGGATATTTTGTTTATTGAAATTTAATTATTTACAGTAACTAGTACAATCTTAGGTTATCACCAATGCACATAAAATGTTGGAAGTTGGAATGAGTAATCTGCAATGGATATTTTGTTCATTGAAATTTAATTATTTACCGTAACAAGTACAATCTTAGGTTATCAGCAATGCACCTAAAATGTTGAAGTTGGAATTACATATGACCGTAGAGTTAAGTGCAAAGTCATATTTGATTGGCATTTGACTTAAATAGTCAAATATATAAGGTAGACACTAAACCCTAAAGTCATATATGACCATGCATTTGACTTCGAACGTTTCTTACTTTTATTTGATGATATAATATTTTGAATAAAATTTGACTTCAAAATTAACTTCATGAATTTTAATTTTTACCTATTAGATTGGGGATAACCTTCGGTGCACTGTTATGCTTGTGATTACTACTTTATCTTTGCTTAATTATGTGGTGTTAGAGTGGTACCACTTATTAATGAGTTAAATTTAGTGGAAATGTCTTAACTAATGCCAAGAAAAAATATAACATGAGAAATTAGGGTAATGTTAGGGAGACCAAATTTTTAAACCAATTTGCAAACCAAATGATGTGGTTGTAGATGATTGAATTATTAATTAAGTATCGATTATCGTGTTTGTTTCTTATTGGTGACACATTATTGAGTTTGCAAGGTTTAAAATTTAGTTTCCCTAACATTTATCCGAAAAATTAATCGTGTCGAAACAAAGTAAAATATGCCCTTGGAGTTTTGTGGGATGAATGCGATGTGGAATTAAAAAAAAAATGGTAAGCCACTGGGATTTGTTCAGTGGTGAGGATGTAAAAACGAGTAGACTAAATTCAGTGTTCAAAATTCTTCGACGTAATCAAATAAATAAATAATAGATAAATACTCCTTTGACATCCATCACTGTCTTAGCTCAGAACTATTCGCTGGAATAAAATTCCAGTCCCCACTTCCCTCCATTCTAAATTGAACAGTATAGCACATTGGAGATCGCCATCTTTGGTTGCTTGTGCTCCAAGAGACTTGTATAAATAATGGGAATGAATCGAATGATTGAGTATTTCAACCTAAAGAGGTCTCACTTGAAACTGGAAAGGGCATTCAGGACAAAG